GAGGGAGAGAGGGAGAAAGAGCAGCTAGAAATAAAGATAAAAAGATGGAGAGGAGATTGTATACTCAGACATGTGATCTTTTCATTTTCATGTTGATTAATAAAAATTAAGCGTATTGAAAAATGTTGCGTGAATAATAGAAAATTAAATAACGCAAATTGAACATAAAATTAAGTAATTTAAAATAAAAACAAATAAATAATAAATAAGTTTTAATATTGCAATAGTTTAATTGGTTCTGTTTTACCATGTCAATTTTATACTTTATAACGTCGTAAAAAAATCGAATATTTTTACTACTTCCAAATATTTAAATGTTGACACATAATGGACTCTAGTAATGTGCGTATTTCAAATTTGAAATTTGGTGTTTACGATTAGCATTTGTTTTGCGCAGTTTAAACATAATATATGGTAATAGTCCGATAAATTTATCGCACCCTACGACCCCGCTGCGAAATTCTGGAGCCGGTCATTGAGATAAGTCGCTTGGACATTTATTAAATCTTATGTTTATATTTGCTATGTAAATAAACAAAAATTAAGTTAGTATTATTCAAGAAATTATTCAGTTTAACTTTGTTGTTTCTGAGCACAGAATACATGCATTCTTCAGCTTTTTGTGGATGCCAAGTGCATTCAATAACCTTTGAATTTAATCTCATATTTGATTTGCTTAAATTAAGTTTCGTCGCTACACTAACAAGAACAATATCCAGGAATTTCAAAATTAGAGCGTAGTGGGTTAGTATAATATGAGTGACGATAAAAGTAAAAAGTAAACAAAAGAATGTAATTTTCGGTTGAGTCATTATCATTCCAAGAGTTGTTTCGGGTATTGAACGCATTCTTTTTGTTGTTGCTTTTTTTTTTGTTATTTCTCTGTTACGGCAAACTAATGAACAGATTATTTTTTCAAAAAAGATTTTAATATAAAATTGCTAATGCATGGAACTCCCCATTTATTTACTTGAAAATAATGTAATGTGTCCCACTCCTTAGATTCATGAAAGAAAGATAAATTTCTTTGTTCATTTATCATTGACTCGCTAACCTACCTCTTCCTGCTTGTAACGCATTCGTCACGATCCAGATGCAAGCTGATATGTTAACTTTCTCCACTTCCGTTTTATGCAAATGTGCACGTATCTGTCCGACAGCATTGCATCCTGTTGCTTGTTTTTGAATTCTGTCTACAGTAGTTAAAAAAAAAAAAACAGAATCGCGTGGAGGCACATAGATGGTTGATACATTTCCACAACCAGCAAGTTGAATCAGCGTTGAATGAAGAACTCTCACGTTTTAGATTATCAGACATTTATACTTAGGTATCTCCACTAATTCGCTAAGAAGGGTATACCATGATGCAAAAAAATGCCCCTTGATAAAGACAAAGTTTTATCGTCAAAATCTTTATGTTATTATTAAGAGGAAAAACCAAAGTATTTTTTGATTATTTAATTATATATTTTAATCTTTTTTTTAGAATATTCGAAATTTTGATTAAACATCTTCTTGTGCCTGCTTCGAAATATGAATTAGCATAGCAAATTTAAAAAAAAAAATTCTTTTCAATAAATGGCAAAAGTTTTATAAAAATTAAATAATTGGATGACTTTTGGAAGATTTTAAAAATCGACATGATTTACGACCCCACCACACAGAAAATATATATTTATAGTGACAGTATTTACACAAATAAACAATGCTTTTAAAATAAATAAAAATTCGATTCTGCTACAAACAAATCTAGAAATAATATTTTTATCAGATAATGACTAGTGATAACCGAAATTACCCAGACAGGGAGCAATTTATATTTAAATATATACCGTAAACTAGAAAAATTATTCGATATATATATATATATATATATATATATATATATATATATATATATGTATTATTTAAAAATATGTATTCATCGCCACACAGAAATTACCATGTTTCAAAACCAATGCCTATGTCTTAAGGTTATTCAGCATAGCTTTAAAATTAAACGAAAGCTTTAAATTTTAAGTTATATTCAAGATTTAGGTTTTGATTTCGAAACATGATAATACATATTTTTTAAAAAAATAATTATATTATGCTCTACTATGTATCGAGCACTGTTTTTAAAAATAAATGCTGAAGAACTCTGGATTATAAATCTGAATATTCTTTCTTTTTTATATATATATATATATATATATATATATATATTAACTGATTCAAAATATGTTTTTTTTCGCTACACAGTTCTAACCATGTTTCAAAAATGGAAGCTAAAAGCTTCGAATTTAATTTTGTAATTAAATTAAAGACATTAGTTCCATTTCATACTCAAGCGAATTTTGTAGTAACTTATTTTTAAAATTACCGGGTTTTAAAGGCACTGCAAAAATTCATAATTCACGTTTCCAAGGATACAGAGAAATCCAATTCAACCAGACAAGAGGTGTTTGCGTGTTCATTATCGCTGTATTTTGATGTATCCGTTATTAGTTACGTTTTGGTAGGGGTAGGGATGTATTTTTCAATGAATTCTGACATCCGTTAAATGCATGTCGTCTGGATTTTTTCAAAAAATTTATTGTTAACGGCAAAAATTCTTACGGCATTTTTTTTCTATTTGTATACTTAAAGATTTTTGGTGGGTGTTTAGGTTAGAATACGTTTTATTTAACTACGATTTTAAAAATATTTTTACTTCTTATTTTTAATATACTATATTTCTTTTTAAAACAAGTAAATGTATTAGAATTACTTACAGTATGTAAAATTATTTTCACTTCAAGTATAAGTATGTATATTACCAGGTCACAATCTTTTTTAAAAAATTATATTTAAATATTATTTAAGTAAAATTTATGACAATGACGGCAAAAATAGCTAATTCATTTCTCTGATTTAGTAAACTTTTATTTTTTATATATTTTATAAACATAGTAATATATAGTTTCTCATGTAAGTACATGTAAATGTTTAGCTTTTATTTTAAATCAGTTAATTTATAATATTAATGCCCTGTAAATTTACATTGAGCACTATTTGTAAAAATAAAATTATCTATAAGAGCACCGGATTATATATCTTACTGTTCTTTATATATATATATATATATATATATATATATATATATATATATATATATATATAAAGAAATATAGTCTTAAGGTGTGCTATATTTATGGGATAAAGTGCTCAATATCAGAGATAGAGCGTGTGTAAATATAAAAGTGAACATAGAAGTCAACACTTAGAGGCGACAGTCTTTTTCATGCTATATGCAATCAAAAAAACATAAAACTGTTATTTTTCTCGGCTGATTTATATATAAACAAAGTGACTTGCATTGTAAAATTCTATTATAATAGTTATTTTTACACAATGCTTTGTTTATTTATTTATAGGTTATATTGCGAGAATTTTTATTTTATTTTTTTTTTTGACGTTTCAAAAAAAAAAAAAAAAAGAAAAAAAAAACTAAGTGTTGACTTTATGTTCACTTTTTATTTATATATATATATATATATATATTTGCATCCTCGATTGATGTGCATTCGATTAGTGGTCTAAATTTTTAAATACCAAAATTCGATTAGAGCATACATAATACACGATTAGTTCAGTTAAACATTCTTTAGTTTATTGCTACCTATCGCAATCTACTCCTCCCTACCTATTTTGATAAAGGCCCAATCAAGAGACCTCCGCTGTAGCTAGCTTAAATACCACCCAATATTTGAAGCTAGCACACACACTACACAAACACACACACACACACACACACACACACACACACACACACACACACACACACACATATATATATATATATATATATATATATATATATATATATATATATATAGCACTTTCGGCTAATCTATAAGCCATTATCTAGTATGTTTTTTTCTTTAACTGAATATGTAGATTTTGTTTTTCGCAAATGAAAAACATTCCCATCTCTGCACATACTCACACACATATATATATATATATATATATATATATATATATATATATATATATATATATATATATATATATATTAAAAATAAGATTTGGGAAAAAGGTATATAATATTTATAATAAAATTTATTTATAATATATGTATTTTTACAGAGAAAAGTTAAAATTGAATCTTTGTTACTTACAACTGGATTTTTAGTGTTGTTTTCCTAGAAAAATAATTTGTTGTTTTACTTTTTTACTTTAACCAGTTTCGCTTAGCTTTTCAAAATGTTTTTAACTGTATCTCCACGTGTTGACGCTTATGTTTTGAACATATGAAAAAAAAAAAAAAAAAAAAAAAAGAATCAAGGGCCGTAACTGGCTATATATATCGCTTATGATAAGGAAAATTTGGTAGAATCTGTTTATGCAATCAATTAATTATTAGCTTGAAGATGTTGGTGAAAAATGTTTCCTTATTAATCTGTCTTTGTTCCGTGGTTCTGTAGTCGCACTTATAGAATGGGAAGACTCTGAAATTTGTCAGATTTTGTCCTCCGCATTTCTATTTTTCTATTTTTTATTCTTTAGTAGGATTGGTAGATTTAGTTGTATGTGTGTGTAGATTCTGTGTTCTTTGGGTTAGAAGTTGAGATATAAGGGATGACCTTTATTTTCTTTTTTCCTTTTGTTTCTCCGAGTGTGAGGATGTTAATTTGTTTTGCTTTTTCAATATTATTGTTGATCAAATTTTGTGGGTATTTTCTCTTGATGAGTATTTTTTCTTCTCTGTTGTCTCTTGTGGGTGTGTTTGAGACTATTATATATATCTGCTTGGCTATATTGATTGGGATGTTGGTCCGAGTGTGTTTCGGGTGGGTAGATGTAAAAAGAAGCTACTGTCTAGAGTCAGTAGGATTAAAATATATGTCGATTTCTAGTTTAGTGGTTGTTTTTGTTATTAATATACCTAAGAAAGGAATTTTTTTGTTGCTGTACTCCATAGTGAATTAATGGATGTTTGGAATGTCTTTAGTCTATCCAGACTTTCTCTCAACAGAATGAAATCTATCTATCTATCTATCTATCTATCTATCTATCTATCTATCTATCTATCTACATATTCAGTTGAACAAAATGATAATGTTTAACAGATTAAGCGCTCGGATCAACAGATCATTCGGTTTGGACAGTTTTTACACACTTTGTCCAGACTTGTTTTGTACGAATGCAAGAAAAATGTAATAAAAAACTTTATCGCAGTGCCTTGTCAGTCGTCTTCAATGAGCTTATATAGAAGAGTGATTACTTCCCAGATATGAAATTACATATATATGTTTTTAAATTTTTATAGTCGTACATAAGTATGTTGGTTTAAGAAAGGAGTATTCCGCTTATGAAAGAAGATATTTGAAAACATCTAAGACGTCTGTTCATATTCGGACTAAAGATCAATGCACTTTCAATAATTATTTACTGTATTGGGATAGCGAAAGATGAATTCCAAAAGCTAAACAAAGTATTAAGAAACAGCAATAAAGAATACTGAACTGTTATGTAATATCAGTTCTTGTATTTGGCAGTAAATGTTGAACAATCTCCTCACTAATGAAGAAGAGACTTGAAGCAACAGAAATGTAGTTCCACAAAAGGATGTTGAGAATTCCATGGACTGGACATGTGAGCAACGGCGAAGTTCTAGAGACAAAAAGGTCACTCATAGTTACCATTAGAAAGAGACAGTTGAAATTTCTAGGGTACATAGTAAGGAAAGTGGGCTTAGAAAATTTCATACTCACAGGATATTGTAGGCAAGAGGGTCAGTGGAAAACAACCTATAACGTACTTAGTGAACTTGAGCAAATGGATGTCGGAGCTGGATTTGGGAGAGATAGCAAAAAGACAAAATTTGTGAAAATCTACGAAAGACAGGAAATTGTGGCGTGTCATACGCCCTGAAGGGATATGTCACATAAAAGGAGAAGAAGTTATTTTCTTTCTTAATAACGACAGCATTTCTGAAATAGAAATTGTCGTTATTATTTCAGTGTATAACTAATGTGTTGGATAATTTATTATTGAAATCTTTCTTATGTTCATAAAACGTTTCTGTTTTAATTTTTTTGAAGTTTTATCAATGTATAATAAGGAACAGCTGTTGCCGTTTATCTTATATATGTCTGCTTCAGAATTACTGTTATTATGGACATTACGGATACCATTAGAACCAAATGTGTCGGCCATCAACACAGTGTCATTTACGTATCTTATATTGTTAAAATTACGCCCACCGATTATAAATTCTGGTAAGATTTCCATTTTCCTTAGGATAGCCTTGCTTTAAATGTTTTATAAATCCGGTGAGAAGACATATTTGTGTTTTACGTCTCTTTCTTTTTTTTTGTGAACATACTGAAATTATATGTACAATCATTGAATTAAAAAACTTAAAGATTTATAAAATATATTTATTTAATGGTAATCTCATTTTAAAACTGGTCGTACATATACACTGAATAAAAAAATGAAATTTCGAACTCTCTGAAAACTTTTTCGGATTTTAACCTGGGTAAATAGTGTCCGCGATATAACGATAAACTACATCCAACAGCAAGGCCTCTGATCAGGAGGTTTTGAGGAGCGTGGAACCATCTCTTAATTGCTAGTGTTCCCAGGTTCACGCTGATCTGGGGTGGTAGCACCTGTTAGGGCCCCAGCTATGGGAAAATAGTTGACCCCACCCCAAATTGGGGGCAAAACACTATGAAAATGTAAAAATGGTTTTTAATACCAGCAATATGTTTTGTAAAAATTATTACTAGCAATGAATTTTTGAAGGAAAATATTGTTACCAGCGTTAGGCCTGACGATTGCATTTATTAGCAGCAGTATATTTTTGGAAAAAAATTACCTGCAATGCTTTCTTAAAAATATTATCAGAAATACATTAAAAAGATATTATAAGCAGTATATTTTTGAAAAAAAAAAGAAGAGATATTACCAACAATACATTTTTGGGAAAAAATATTACCAGCAATAAAAATCTTGTTGGCATTATCTAACCCATTGAGGCTGATATGCCGTAAAACAAAACAAACCAAACCAAAACAAACCTGGGTAAATATGTGCACGTGAGAGGGTAGTAGATATGAATATAAAATATGTTTTAGATAAATATTTTCAAGCTATCTGGTGACGTAAATACGTAGAAACGCTTATACAAACGTGCCATCTGTATGTAAGCTTTGACACGTGCTGCTCAGACACGCTATGCCACTTTTCACTCATTATGTCCCTACACAAAGTATGTGTCTTTCTTCTGCCATACCTTATCTTTGCAAGAATCAGATTAGATAAGAAATAGAGTATTTCTGTCATGTTGGAGTTCAAAATCATTTATGCTTACATTTGGGAGAAGATGACTTATCTAATCTGTAGACTCTGTCTCACAGACTCGATCGCCATTTCTATGGCAAATATTCAGATGTGCTACACTCTTTCGTATCACCAGTTCAAACCTTTACACCAAGGACTCGCCATGCTACACCCTCCCTTATTTCAATGAGTCGAATCACCTTCATTTTTGTTGTATTCTAACCTTTCCCTAAGAATTTCTAATTTATGGAACAGATTCCCGAACATGAATACTTACACTACAATTTTAACATCTTCATGTCAAAGGTCAATCGTTAACTATCCTTCTTATCCTCATAATCTCTTCCTACCACACCTCTTTTCCTCATATCATACCTCATTCACAACCATTTTAACAGTAACACTCTACCTTGAGTGGCTCTCAAGCCTTGTACTGAGTGAACTTTAATGATTTACTATTGGTAAAGAGTCCAGTGTAATCAGGTGTGATGCTGTGAAGATGTATACATACTGCTTTTGTTCCTTTAAAATCGTTTGTAACAGGCATCCTTCGAGATGCTATATATTTTTTTTCGGATGTTAGGCTTGGTATATCCTTATTTCTTTGATATTGGTCAAAACAGTGGCCAAATGAACATTCCAGCCCCCGCAGACCAGGTTCTTGACAGCCTTATAATACAAACGCTAGCACTGCAAGTGTGGCAGTGGCTGACCGCATGGCGTCCACAGCACAGCTGTTAGCAAATACGGTTCCAGCAGTGTCAATATAATCCGTTGGGAATAGCTTACTTGCAGCAGGACTACGAGCAAGCGAACACCGCCAGATTTCCGCTTTGGTCGAAACATCCTCATGCACCTCTTCAGTGGTGTTCTTCTTCTTTTATGTACCGTGTCCCTTTAGGACGTAGGCAATCATGGCTCTCCACTTCCTCCTGTCCCTTGTAGCTCGCAATAAGTTTTATCCTTCCAGACCCCGTTCCACCATCCACTTGCTTAAGCCCGTTAAGTATGTTGCGCTTTGCTTTCACTTGTCCATCTTACCCTCTATCCACCCTGAAAAATATTCAGTGTATTAATTTGAATATTTTTCGCAACGAGCTAGTTGAACTTGTGTTGGATAAGGGATACTTTGTCTTTTCAGATCATCAGAGATCTTTATTGTTTACTTCCAATCCATGAAGATTGAGCCAAAGAGAATGGCTAAATTGTTTTATTTTATGAGTAAAACATACATTTTGTGACAAATTTGCGTGGATTAGGGTGTAGTGTATGATTTTGTTTAACAATACACACACGCACGCGCGCGCAAACACTCACATACACACATATATTTTGTGAAGTAAGTAATCTTGTTTATAAGTTTGTTGATACACGATTATTGTGGAATATGTTCATGTGTTGATCTGTATTTACTGTAATTCAGCTAAATGATTTGTACGTTTAGTCTTGAATAAATTGAATCAACATTTATTTAGTTCGATTCAATTTTACGTCAATATAAAAACCACATAACAAAACGCCAACTGCAACCATTTTACTGCAACCAGATGCAGAATAATTATAAGCATGACGAAATCGCTATACGAGGAATCATTAAACACCATATTTCTGCCGCAATCCATATACTACAAAAAATGGAAAACCGCCAACCTTGCTGCCACTAATCAAAATAACCCCATCAAATCTAAGCTAGCGATGACCAATAAGTGTATCGATTTCACTGCCCAGTACAACACTGTCTTTCTTGTCACAAATCAGTTAACTATATCGGAGATACTACTACATTCTTGAGTAGACGCATCACGTGTTACTTATCAGATAAAAGTGCTATAAAAAACATCTAGCTACCTACAATTTACAAGAATCCTTAAGAAAAATTCTGCTCGAAAACACTAAAATTCTATATAAATCATATTACAGGGAAACATCTTGCTATAAGAGAGGCTATGTGTATTAAACATCCCTCCCACACTATCAACCTCACCTTATTTAACAGTGTGAATGGTGTGTTGAAAGTTTTTAAGAAAAATAGAAAGACGCACACTCGAATTCCAGCCGCGCTCAACATGCAAAGCCTCGGAATAAACGCTCCTACTAGTATTCAAAACAACACACAAATAAAATACATTTTAAACAGTCAAAATATGTAGAGAATTAACAACACCTAAAAGACATCCCCTTGTAAATGGCTAAAGAAGCGACCGAAAACTCTTAGGACCATTAACGAAATTTTCCTTGTCTGTCATATTTAACGAAAGATGTTTAAAAGAAAACCTAACTATACATTAACTATATATATATATATATATATATATATATATATATATATAGTCTTTTAATGGCGATAATGCTCATAACTTATGTTAGATAGTATTTCTCTATCAAAATCTATGTCGAAGTGTTACTATCGCTGTTATTTTAAAGGCGACACTTTTACCAGCAGTCAGAATGGCTTTTCTTTTGTTATAAATTTGCTGAATTCAACATACAACCATTTATCCACACACAGACAGAAAGTCATACACAAATGGAGAAATATTTGTAGAAAGATTATTATACGATAATGACTCAAAATATTATGAGTTCCTGCCAAATACAGTGTTGGCTCTCTATAAACCTGTAAAATAGCTTTGATGCAATCAGGTGCAGACGGCAAAACCTCTGAAGGTTTCCTCTGAGATCTGCTATCAGGATGTTAACTGGATGACTTTCAACTGCTGCAAGTTACGGAGGATGATGTTCAGAAGAGAAA